TATTGCGATGCCATTGCGGCGGCAATGAAGGCTACAACTCAAGTCTCGCTATACTACAACGCTGCTTTCATCGCCAGTCTTGACGATCTGAGCAAGCGACTGTCGCAGTCTCCGAAGGATGGATCGTCATCGTGGATCTCGAAGCCTAGCATGGACAAGGTTGGAAGCTCGCTTCTATCCAAGTTCAACAGCTTCATTGCAGGAGACGACGAGGACAACACAGCCAACAAGTCTGGTGGGCCAGACGGACCTTTCGCTAAGATCGCTGGTAATAGCCCATCCCTCACGCCCTCACAATCGAGCACGGATCTCTATGGTGCAATGTCTGGCTATGGCGCGCCAACGCAACCACCTGTCCCCGGCAACTCAAGGTATGCACCATCGAACGCGTACGCGCCAAGGTCATCTTCGGAGCAGCAACGATCTCGTTATGAGCCTCAAGGTCGGCCATCGATGGAATCGAACGACAGCTTCGGCGTGCGCGCAGCATCTGACACCTACATGCCTATGACACCCACGTCAAACGTGTACAGCCCAACTCAAAATCAACTGAGCCCACCGAGTGCACGCACGGCAGCCAAGGCACAGTCGTACTCACCCCTTCGCCCGGAGTACAGCCCAGCTCAACCATCTTTCGGTAGTCCTTATATGCCCACACCACCTGTCGGAGAGCCTTCCCTGGCCCCTGCATTTGGTGGCTATCAGCCTCAAGCGAACTCAGATGAGCCGACAGCAAACGAGCTCACCTACGATCGATATGGACCTTCGTCATCCACCTTTGAGCCTCCTGCGTACCAGCCGTACAATCCGGATGAGGATGACAAGGAAGAAGACAAGCAGATATCAAAGAAGAAGTCTTTCATGGATCTTGACGACGATGACGACCTCGCTGCCCGCGCCTCGGCCTTGAAGATTAGTGGAGGCAGCAGCTCCAAATCAGACGCAGACAAAAAAGCAGACGAGGCATTCCGCAAAGCCGCCGAAGCAGACGCTCAACGCGACAAAGAAGCCACAGCAGCAAAGAAGGGAGGATGGCTGTCTGGGTGGTTTAAGAAAGATCCCAACGCCGGTCCCGGTCCCATCAAGGCCAAGCTGGGAGAAGAGAGCAGTTTCTACTACGACACAGATCTTGGCAAGTGGGTAAACAAGAAGGGCGGCGCGGCAGACACGGGTAAGCCCGCTGCAACACCACCACCTCCACGTGCTGGACCTCCCGGCGGCGGAGCTCGAAGTGCCTCAGGTAGCGCCGCACCCACACCGCCTATGGGTCCTCCCGGCGCAGGTGCACTGCGTCCACCTACCTCCAACCCCCGCTCGTCGTCGCTGCCGCCGCCAATGGGTGTGGCAGGCTCCCGCGCATCTACACCCGGCATCCCAGAATCCGACGAAGAGGGTTTCGCTGGACCCAAGCCACCTACGCTGGCTAGACCCAGCTTCGGTGCAGCATCCGGACCGCCATCACGACCGGGCACTGGTATGAGCAATGCTAGTAGTATTGACGATTTGCTCGGCGCACCTCAGGCGAGGAAGGGCCCTGCGGGCAAGAAGAAGAAGGGTGGACGCTATGTCGATGTCATGGCCAAGTAAAAATGTTACGGGAAACGATCAAGATATGGCAAACGGAGATAGATGACCGTTATCAGGACGCACATGCCAGGGATGAATAGCATGGTTGTTATGAAGGATTCGGGCGCGGCATACAGGTGTTCCTGCATTAGAAGGAGTAAATGCATTAGTCTCGCATCCCGAGCCCATTTCTCGGGTTAACACAATTGTACTATTATATTATTGTCGTACTCTATCTTACCTTGCGCACCACCGCTTCAGTATTGCAATCGTGATAAACGTGTCGTGGTCCCACACCGGGGGGCGGCCCCAGCCTGTCCACTTTCCTCCCTCCACAAAAGATACGAAGAACGGCCTTTTGCTCGGAGCTGTTGTTGGCTGGGGCCCACTGGGGGCCGATTGGGCTGGCGGTGGTCGACCCCACAAGAACGGCAAACACACCCGATTACGGAGATGACGCATTGTCCGGCTAGTTGATCGGTGACATGCGCTTTCGCGTGGTCGGTATCGCCAGGGTCTGGCGATGGTTACACGCGCGGCGCGCATGGCTATCGTGCAGGATGTTCGAAGGAGTCTTATCGTTGTCGCTTACTTGATGTGTGGTGTATGTATGTTGTTGGGTGGGTAGTTTCTCGGTGCCATATCAGCACAGCTAGCTAGCCAGCCCTGTCGACGCCTATCTCCCCGACTCCGACTCGTGCTGTGGAGCGAACGATTGCAGCGTCGCATTCGCAGCTTCCCAGCTCCCAAGACCGCTAGGATTAGTATTAGTCAGTCTAGCCCTTTGGTGGGCTTGAGCCAGCTGCGGGGAATTCGGCGGCGCTCGCGTGGTCATCTTTTTTATCTTGGGTTTTCGTGTTCCTTATCCTGTTGACTGATGCTATAGCCCTGCTGCCGCGCTGTTATCGCGGTGTTTGTTTTGTTCTTATACTGGACGGTTTCCGAGGTTGCGACATCACGATACGGTGTTTCTAGGTCGTCGCATTTCCCATCGCAGCGCTAGGATTCGAAGCGCAGTAAGAGTTGATTTTCTGAATCGATCGTGGGACACCTGGACAACGAGGCAATCATGGCGAAGAGCGTTTCCGTCACCGAGGGCGGAGCCGGAGGAGGACAGGATGCCACACGAAGACGGGCTTCGATCAACGACCCGGGCGCCGACGCTGCCCTGGCGAAAATGGGTTACCAATCTGAACTCCCACGGAATCTGAGCATGCTGAGCGTCCTCGGCATGTCGTTTGCCATCATGGCCGTTCCATTCGGTCTCTCGACAACACTCTACATTACGCTTACGGACGGGCAATCGGTGACTGTGCTCTATGGTTGGATCCTCGTCTCCCTCATCTCGCTCGCCATCGCTGCGTCCCTCGCTGAGATCTGCGCTGTTTACCCTACAGCCGGCGGCGTGTACTACTGGTCCGCTATGCTCTCCACGCGCGAATGGGCGCCCATCGCGTCGTGGGTAACCGGCTGGTTGACCTTGGTTGGAAACTGGACGGTTACGCTTTCGATCAATTTCTCCGGCGGTCAGCTCATCTTATCAGCTATTACGCTTTGGAATGAGGACTTTGTGCCGAATGAATGGCAGACTGTTCTTGCGTTTTGGGCGGTCATGCTGATTTGCATGGCGATTAATATCTTTGGGGCGAAGCATCTCGATCTGATCAATAAGATTTGTATTTATTGGACGGCGACTAGTGTGGTGGTTATCATGGTTGTGTTGTTGACTATGGCGGATACGAAGAGGGATGCGGAGTTTGTGTTTGCGCATTATGATGCTAGTCAGAGTGGATGGTATGTTGTCAAGGCATGGAATATGGAATAATTGGACTAACGCTTTGATAGGCCATCAGGATGGGCTTTCTTCGTCGGTCTCCTGCAAGCTGCGTACACACTAACTGGCTACGGCATGGTCGCTGCCATGTGCGAAGAAGTCTCGAACCCTTCCCGCGAAGTCCCCAAAGCCATTGTTCTCTCCGTCGCAGCAGCCGGTGTCACAGGAGTCATCTACTTGATCCCCATTCTCTTCGTCCTTCCTGACGTACAACTCCTCCTCGACGTCGCGAACGGCCAACCCATCGGCCTGCTCTTCAAGACCGTGACCGGCAGTGCAGGCGGCGGTTTTGGCCTCCTCTTCCTCATCCTCGGCATCCTCTTCTTCGCTGGCACAGGCGCTCTGACCGCTGCATCACGCTGCACCTATGCGTTTGCTCGCGACGGCGCTATCCCCGGTTCGCGACTCTGGGCCAAGGTTGACAAACGCTTCGACATCCCCCTTATGGCGCTCGTCCTCTCTACAGTCGTCGACTGCCTCCTCGGCCTCATCTACTTCGGCTCCTCAGCCGCATTCAACTCCTTCACCGGCGTCGCTACAATCTGCCTCTCCACCTCATACGGCATGCCCATCCTCATCTCCGTACTCCGCGGCCGCAGAGCAGTCAAGCACTCGTCCTTCTCGCTCGGCCGCTTCGGCTACGCCATCAACGTCGCTATGATTGCGTGGATCTGCCTCGCTGTTGTGCTTTTCTGTATGCCGGTCAGTTTGCCTGTTGAGCCCGCTACCATGAACTATGCCAGTGTGGTATTCGCGGGCTTCGCGGCGATTAGTGTGGCGTGGTATTTCATTAGTGGTAGGAAGGAGTTTTCGGGCCCGCCTGTGCCAACGGATGCTGAGCCTGGGGAGGAGACTGTTGTTGCGGGGTTGGCGGTGCAGGATAGTCGGCAGGATATTGAGGGCAAGGGGGATATGGATAAGGGTGTAGAGCACGATAAGGTGTATTGAGTGGGGGATGGGATGTAATTGACGTTGATGTCCACTACTTCGAGATTGTTTGATATGCCAGACTACCTATTTAATTAAAACTCCATGAAGTCCTTCTTGTTTGCATGTGTCTTAGAATTCTAGAGCGTTGCGGTGAGACTTGTTCGAGTTGTAGTGAAAAAGACGGTAGGTTTCCGCTCTAAGGTGAAGGGTGACGCCACAGGACGCTAAGCCACGGCTAGCGGGGGTACGCGGTTACGCGATCCACGGTTGGTCGCAAAGCACTCAACGCGACAAGCACCATCTCTCCCATGGACGTGTTGCCTGCCGCTGAGACTGATGGAAATGAGGTGAGTGCTTCTCTCAGTAGTGATGCTCTCTTGTCATATCGTGAAATCTCTCATAGTTGCACGTGTGCTGTGGCAGGATGAAGAAGTCGACTAACATGTGCAGCGACTGGCGACATTCCATAGTCGACCTCACCTACGATGACGACGATGCGAAAAGCGACGAGGGCCCGCTGTCCTCGTTGCCCTTGGCGACTCCCACACCGATTCACCCTCACCTCTCCATGAGCGCGCCCTTGCCTCAACCGCCCTCATCGCGACTACCTCCTCCCACGACGCGACCCGCGCCTGCACACGTAAACCCATATCCTCCGCTACCTGGAACCATGCCGAAAGCGACAAATACGGCGAGTATGGGACGCCTTGGCCTGGCGCCCAACACTTACGTGCCGGTTCCAGGCCAGTCGGGCAACGGGGCAAGCGACTCGCGGGCAGCAAAAAGAATCAAGACATCCGACGGCGCCTCCAGATCGTCAACACCACCTGCAAAGAAGCCGACCCCAAGCAGAGGGATACCGCCGGCAGCGCAAGCCGCGACACTGGGCAAGTACAAGCTCAACGCCTGGGCAGCGGAATCCCGTGCGGCAGTACCTCCTCCAAGTGCCACACCGAAGCCCAGCGCTACCAATGCCAACAAAGCTCCATCCGTTCAGGATATCAACAAGGCGCTAAAGACGAATGCTGCGCCTATGCTCAACGGTGTCAGGACATCCAGTCCACGCGCGCTTCACATAGGTCGCCGGCCAGGTAGCAGCTCAGGTCCAGTCAGTGCAGCACCACCGACACGAGAGACACCGCGAATGTCACAGGCACCGGCCATTCGACAACAACAATCCCGTGAAGCGACTGCATACAATGGAGCGAGTGCGGGCATGCCAACTAGAGGCCCAGGAAGACCGCGCAGCCGCCCTTCGCCAGGTGCAGGTAACGTCCCGTCAAGGCCGAACTACTTCGCGGGCCCTGCGAAGGAGCAGATTCCAGATGAAGATGGAGATAGCGTCATGTCCGATGTCTCGTCCTCAGCAGACTCTGTGCCGCAGCAGCCATCGGACAAGGTAAAGAGCGAAAACGTCCACCACGGTCTCGGACCAGCAGTCGCTGCATTTCACTCATCCACTCTCCCAAAGGGCACGGATGTACCTGCACCGCCACCTTCCACTGGACGCAAGAAAACCATGAATCCGTTCGATACGGCCCAAGACAACTACCTCATCTTTCTGAAGGAGGTCAAGCAGTACACATGGGCGCAAATCACGGCAGAGTATAACAAGGACATGCCGCACCGTCCATACGCAGCACTTCAGTCTCGGTATTCAACCTTCCTCAACAAGAGAGACCGATCTCAGGATCCCTCCACGTTAATACTACCCCCTCGGTGGGCTGCAGAAGCGACTGTTGACTGGAACGTCATCCGTAGTACCATCGCTCCATCCAGAGGGCCGAGGAACAACCTGTCTGCTTCGCAACCTCACCAACCTAAACGCCAGGAGCAGGCAGTCCCCAAACACCTACCAGTTCAACCGACCATCGAACACGATTACTCCTCAGGGGGTGACTCTGCACCTCGGCGAGAGCGATCCCGCAGGACACAGCGAGTCAATTACACATGGCCGAAGCAGCGGGGTGTTCCGGCAGCTGGGATCGAAGAGGAGTTCATGGAAGACAACTACGAAGCCTTCGCGGACGATTTTGGTCACGCTCGGTCAGAGACGTCTCCAGAGGACGACATTCCTCTGCCTAGTAAGGCGATCGCCGTCGAGAACGAGCCGGTAGACGTTCATTTCAATGCAGATGATGCTGAAATAGGATTGAGTCTCCGACGTACGAAGTCGCGCAAGGAAACGACCAAGAAAGTGCCATATCTCAGCACTTCGCAACGCCTGTCGGTACAAAACCCGCCTGCTGGGGACTGGGACCAGTTGTCTAGTCGCGATTGGCAAGGAACTCTAGTACATGTCGATTTTAGCCCAGACGAGATCGCTTCGGTAGAGAAGGCTATTGCATTAACGAGAAGAACCATACCCAAAATATCACGGCACCGCACAAAAGGAAGGCAGCTGCGCGAAAACTTGAATGCCTTTACAGAACCGCAGATCCTTCGACTGATCGAAAGCCTCCTTCATCGTTTGCCCTGCCGCGATCGGAGCAGCATCCAAGCCTTTATACAAGATGCATTAGCCGGCGATGTTGCAGAAGTACCGCAAATACAGAGGCTTGCAGCTGCGCGACCTGACACAGAGATGCAATCGACCCAGAAGCAGTCCACAACATCGATACTCCGTCAACGTGAACTAGGCCTCCAATCCAGAAGAGGCTGGCATAGTGCGTCAAATCCGCTTACCTACCAGGTCAAGAACAAGTATATGGATACCATGGGACCGACAGCTTGCTGGACGGGCGCCTCAAGCGACATCCACACTGTTGCATGGGCGCCGGACGGTGAGCACTTTGCTGCTGGTGCTGTCGCTGTTGACGACCCAGACTCGATGCAGTACAATCGACCGAACAACCTCCTCTTCGGTAGTGCCGTGCATGGCACAATCCATGAATTAGCAGAGCATTATAAGATTCGCGAGAAGACCGAGACCGGCGCGAACTCAAGCCATGCTATGTTCGCCTCCCAAGACCCAAAGCTTTACACTACAGTCAGCTCGGTAGCGTTCTCGAACACCAGTCCGTATATGTACTCGTCGGGTTACGACGGACATATCGGTATTTGGAGAACAGACTCAGAGGCAACACAGCCAGTGCTAGTTGCGAAGCTCAACGTGAAAGACCAAATCGACATCTTGTCAGTCAACCCTGTGAAATCCGATGTCATAGCAACGGCAGCGAAGGTCTTCAATGAGAAGGCTATCAGGGTACTCAAGATAGACGAAGCCGAGCCACGGAACTTTACCAAATCGCGCTTTCACTCAAACAAGGCTGTCGCGCGTGCAGATCTGAGAATTCTCCCTTCTGCTCTTCAATTCGAACCAACATGTGGCGGGCTTCTTCTTGCAGGCTTCGGTGCCAATTTGAAGGATACAGGCCTTGATATGACTGGCGATCTCTGCTTGTGGGATGTCGAAACGCGCACCCCGTACAACATTCATGGATCCAACAAGAACATCTTCGACGTCACTTTCAATCCGAACCGCTCCAGCATGCCACTGTTTGCTGCTGGCTGCGTAGCAACAGGTTCCACTGTCAACCGCGGTACCCGCTCAACTGTCCGCCTCTACGACATAAGAGATGACAGTAAGTTCACCTGTCCCTTGGAGTTTGAGTGCAAAGCTCTGGATATGAATGATGTAATTTGGTGCCCACATGACGAGCGACTCATCGCAGCTGGCTGTACAGACGGAAAGGTCTATGTCTGGGATGCGCGTATGCCAGATGACCCTCTACGCGTCCTCTCTCACGGCAGCTCCCTAATGCCCCTCCAAGAAGGAATTAAGCATGAGATTACAGACACCGGCATACGGTTTTTATCGTGGGGCGAGAATGCCACTCGGCTTTACTCAGGTTCATCCGACGGTGTGGTGAAGGTTTGGGACGTTACGCGCGCGGAAGAGAACACCTTCATCAAGGATTTGGTCACCACAGATTCCGGTATCATGTCTGCTGCATTTAGTCCTGATTACAGTAAACTTGTCGTTGGAGAAGTGAACGGCTCTATTAACGTACTTGAAGTCGGCAGGGACGATACCTCTATCAAGGATGCAGACAGGCTACGTTATATGCCGTACCAGGACGATGAGCAAGACGACATTCAGGACGAGGCTGGCGATATCACTCGTCTAGCACCCGAGTCCGGTATTACTGAAGGCAACTATCTACTGCAGACGCAGCAACTACAAGTCGCGCCTATGGGAAGTCTACCAATCCGACAAGTCGTTCAAGGTGTGAACTACGCTGGTCCATTCGATGAGGGTGTCGATGCGCCATCCCTCCGCGAGCAAGCAATGCAGTTCCAGCTCGGTCTTACAACGTCGCGAGGCCCTCAGTGTGACATCCCTGCCTGCAAGGACGACCTCAATAAAGTCACGAGCGAGGACGTCGGCGATTCGGGACGAAGCGCAGACCGTATCCCAGATGAACTGCGTCGGCAATGGAAGGCCATCGACACTAAAGGCGCCATTATACCCGGCAAATCGAAGTGCACGTACTGTGCCCGCCCTGCCCGTCCGTCTACGACAGACAACAGCGACGTTGTTCTATGTGAGCGCTGTTCTTTTGCTTGCTTCCGTTGCGGATCCGTCAACCCCATCGCGCCGGCTACTACAACGCTCATTTGCGACTCGTGTGCTGGAGTCTGGGACATTGGCGTCCTCGGCTATGAGTGCGTTCAGCAGCCGTATGCTCACAACAGGCACATGCAGTTGGATGTCCCAGCGTTGAAGAGGTGGGGCGAAGAAGCTCATGCAGATCGGCAGGATGACTTCGATACGAATCACGGCGACGAGATGAATGCGCTGACCGATTACTACCTCTCTTTGGCTATTGATCGGCCGGAGAGTCCGCCGTTGTAGGGACTGACATTGAGGAAGTTGGCCGTCGGGAAGAGACTTTGCAGAGGAAGTGCAGATGGATACGTGTATATTACATTATGGAAGTGAAAAGCGGAATGGTGGGAAAAAGCTTTCGCGCACATTGAGCGGCGCTGGCGATGAATGATACCCCATGTTACATTACTCAATCTAGTCCTCCTCCTTTTCACATGTGCTAATATCGAGTGATGATGGAGCGCATCATCACCATACAGGGACTATGCGCCTCACTCCCTTTACGACATTAACTCGATTCCAGACGACGGCTCGTCATGGTAGGCGGCTATGTGGTGTTTTTCTCCCCGCAGAAGAACATGCGAAAGCGTGAGCACGCTTTTGGACTCGGAGAAGAACGCAGAGACATGACTCCAGGTTGGGATGGCTTTTTTAGATCTCGATTGGCAAGATGGTAATGTGAACCTGCTCGCAGACGACCCGGCACATCGGGGTCCTGTTAATAGTTTTCTTTTGCTGTGACGCTGCGTCTCATGAAGTGAGTCGCTGTTGATTTTCCAGAGGAGGAGAGGCAGAACTCTCTCCATGTATACTGGCTGGCTTGTGTTTTGGTGTTTATAGAAGAGGGGAGGGCGAGATCTTCTCCATGCAGTGAACGCGTCTTCAATTTTTTTGTATATCAGGGAATGGAAAGGCGAGGTCTTTTCATGGAAAGCCCAGCCTTTAGTTTCAGGAATTGGGCGAAAGGAGGAGGGAGACGTTCTCCATAACTGCTGCTGAGGTGCACTTTTGGTATTGGGGAAAGAGAGGAGGCGAGGTTCTCTTCATAGCGTCTCCTACCAGGCGTTTTGGTAATGCGGGAAGAAGTAGATGTAAAGAAGGATGGAGAGCAGCAAGACAGCAAAAGCTTTTATATCAGCTTTCTCGCTGCGCTGTGCCGAGGCGGTCATACCCGGAATGGTGTGTTGTTCAAAGTGGACGCAGCGAGCAGCATGCAAAGAACGAATCCGGTGTTCATTTTTTTGCTTGCAAAGGCCCGCTCTCACACATGTACCAATAGTCTGTCAGTTTGAGGTCCAGCGTTCATGTCCTTGGCGCTCTTGCGTTTTGCAGACGAAGCGATCCAAGATATTTTGAAGTTGGGAGGAAGCAAAGGCCCATCGCACACGATCAACAATCTTTTGTGAGGGGTTCTCCGAGTTTTATAGAGGAAGGCGTAGGAGCGATCACATCGCAAAATGGTGAATCGATTTTTGGAAGACACCACCCATGGTTATCTGGTCATTGAATTTTGGAGTAAATCGCCAGTGGTATGGTGAAAAAGTGAGGAGGAAGAGTGCGTGGAAAGGCTGCTTTTATATCGAGAGAAGTCCGGAACGGCACAACATGTGATATACCGAAGTCGATTTGAGTAGATGGTGTGCGCTGGGGATGGTGTGGTCGGAACACGCCAGTGTGCAGTATATGTATCTGGAAAGAGGGAGAAGTCGATATGAGAGAAGTCTTGAGCCTTTTGAGTCCTGCGTCTTTTTCCCGAGAGTTTTGCAGAGAAGAGTGGAGTCGAGCGCGGCGAACATAGTCCAGGATATCTTCGTTTTTGACGCTGGTGGTCTCCATGATTGAGCCCCTCGATTGTTTTGGTAAATGGTACTTGAGAGTATGAGTGTACAAGGGTGATAGAGCGAGCAATGCGGCTTAATATACTTGTCGTTGTAGCGGCTATGATGCGCAGCGACGCTGGTCATACCAAGAAAGGTCTGCGCTTTTCAGTGTGATAGCGAAGCCGAGAAGTGATGAGCGGAAGTTTCGTCCTCCATTTTCAAAATCGCCAGTCGAATGTACACTTTTCGCACGCCTTGTGAGACATGATTCCGGCCGCCAGAGTTTTTGATGGACATGTGTTTGTGGTTTTGATATTCTAGGATATTGGTAGGCCCAAAGGAATGTGCTGTAAGATAAATATGTCCATAAGTGAGGCATGAACGACATCCATGAGGTTTTGAGTACATGAGCGAAGAATTCGGAGAATGATTTCATGTTAGTGTTTTCGAAAGCCCAATTCTCATCATAAATTCGAACATGGTTTTTTGAAATGCGAGAGTAGAATTCATGAGTAAGGAAGACTTCCCGATAGGACAATTCACATACGACTCCTAGCCAGCGCATCGGCCGCCTCGTCCTTGGCGTACGTAACATCCACGCCCTTCATCGCACCCTCCTTCCTCCAATCATTTAAGATCTTGATAAACGCCGGACTTCCATATCCAAACGTCGCGTTTCTCTTCTCCCTCTCACTATCTTTGCCCTCGTTGTTGTAGTACCCGGGCGTGCACTCCTTCAAGAAGTCACCCCGGATCGCCGTCCCATCGACAATCGTCTTTGTCCATGCCTCCTCCGCATCTTGCATCGGCTCCACCGTCCTGATTCCGCGTTTCTTACACTCGGAGATGATGTACGCATAATGAATCGCTTGCTCGTTGGTGACGTGCATGAAGTTCGGCGTAAGAGCCGCGTGCACGATCTGGACGAAGAGGCAGTTGGGGAAGTTGCGCGTGCCCCATGCATGCAGTGTCTGTGCACCATCAGCCCACTTCTCGGTTATGGTCTGATTGTCGCGGCCGTAGATCTCGATGCCGGTTTTGTGCGACCATTCGTTTGCGAGTTCAAAGCCAGTGGCGTATACGAGGCAGTCGAGTTCGTATTCTTGCCCGTTGGCTACGACGCCGTTGGGGGTGAGGTGGTCAACACCTTTGCCTTTGGTATCGACAAGCGTGACGTTGGGACGGTTGAAGGTCGGTAGGTACTCATCGTGGAAGCAGGGGCGCTTGCAGAATTGGTTGTACCATGGTTTCAGAGCGTCGGCTGTTTCTTTGTCTTTCACAATCTCGTCGGTTCGATCGCGGATAGCGTTCATCTTCTTGAAGTCTGCGATTTGTCGCTTAGCTGCAGCTTCGACGGGGTTGTTTGGGTCGATGCCGGCGGTGATTAGAGACCGGATGATGTCTGTCCATCGATCGGATACCATGTCTTCTTTCTCGTAGCCGCCGTTGACGATGTTGTCAAAGTTGTCCATGCGCTTCTTCTGCCATCCTTTCTGGAGCGATTGTGCCCATGCCTCGTCCGTCGGGCGATTGCCACGAACGTCGATCGAAGAGGGCGTACGTTGGAAGACGTAGAGCTGCTTTGCCCACTCACCCAGATGAGGCACAATCTGAACGGCTGTCGCGCCTGTACCGATAATACCCACGCGCTTGTCTTTGAGTTTGTGCAAGTTCCCCGATGGGTCGCCGCCCGTGTAGGCATAGTCCCAGCGCGAGGAGTGGAATGAATGGCCTTTGAAGTCTTCAATGCCTTTCAAGCCGGGAAATTTGGGTCGATGAAGAGGACCAGCGGCGGGGATCACGAATCGTGACTTGATCTTGTCACCGCGCGCTGTGTGCGTAGTCCATTTTCCCTCTTCTTCATTCCATCGCATCTCCTTGCTCTCGGTCTGGAAGAGAGCACGCGAGTAAAGATCGTACTTTTCGCCAATCATACGCGAGTGTCTAAGAAGCTCTTTGGCACGAGCATACTTCTCCGTAGGCATGTATCCGACTTCTTCTAGCAGGGGCATGTAGATGTAGGATTCGATGTCGCATTGCGCTCCGGGATACCTATTCCAGTACCTCCTGGTTGTTAGTAAATGGATAGCATGCTGTTCAACAAAACATACCATGTTCCACCAAAGTCCCCAGCCTTCTCGATGATCCTAAAGTCTGTGATGCCAGCCTCAATCAACCGCACGGCGCAGACCTGAGCACCGTAACCACCACCGATGATTACCACCTCCGTCTCTTCTTCAATAGGCTCGCGCTGAAACCCCGGCTCGACCCAAGGATCGTCCAAGTAGTGTGATAAGCTGCCATCGAGGAGTATATATTGCTCTACACCTTCGTCTCGTGCTAAACGTCGATCACGCTCTTGAAGGTACTTTGCTTGGAGCGCTGCCGGGTCAAAAGGCAGCTCGTCTTTGTTTGCTATCTCTCCGGTCTTGATATCGACAGTAGACTTGGGAGCCTCTGCCTCGGTAAGAGGTACCTCAGCTATCGGAGCTGCTGCGATCGGACCTTTCGTCGTCATTTTGCGTTTAGGTGGAGGAAATTCGATGCTGTCACTTTAGTCCAGGTTTTGGGTTTGCTTAAGGAGCCCAGTACATCAACAATCGTATGGTAGACGTCTAAAGAAATACAGGTCGATGTAGCCGCGGCAACCCCTCTCGCAACAGCTTCCCCACTCCACCATCGCTTCAGTAGGCTCGCAACGAGACTGATTATCTGCCCGCGGATGCAAGTTGCCCCGTCTGCTGATACTACTAATCATATGCATGTCGAGCGAATGCAGCCACCAGCCATGTTGAGCGTTACTGCTAGCCCGAATGGTAAGTGGCGTTTGAGAGGACAAAGGTTCGGGGTAGATCTGTTCGTTCGGTGCAGATGTGGGGTAACTGGAGACTGATCTGCGGTCGTCGACTAAGCTCAGTCGAGTCGTAACAGGCATCAGGTACCGCAGTATCGGGTAATGTTTCGAAGTTCAATGACAAGACCGAGTTGAAGAGTATCTGGTGGAGCGCATCGGTATTCGTCTTCCTCTGCGCCCCTGACGCGCGGCTCTGTCACCCGGTTGGCGCATACAGGAGATCTAGACTCGAACCATCAAATACTCCTCCCCAAAGCTTACACTGTATCGTGCGTTTCTCTGCAATCATACTCACTCGATGAAACATCACCATAATGGGGGCTGAGATGAAGTTGGGCACGAAAAAGCATGACGTGGTCTTCGCGCTAACGGACTCGCTTATCCCCATGGTCATGGCCTGGCAGCAGCCCCGGAGCGCACCACCTGGCACAACTCGGCCAAAATCAAATGTGCAACTCGTATCGTGCGACGCGTCCCCGCCACGAATGCGACAGGCACAGCCCTGGTATCAGTAAGCGCCCGTTACCACGACGAACGATGCAGAGCCGACGTCAAGATATATCGCCATCTCA